ACCTGAGCATTGATGATGTGGTAAACCCGTGAAACTGGGGGCCTTGATTCTAAAATATGTGCCATCCACACATCCGAGCATATCAGAAAGCTGGCAATATGAAAAAAACATCTGACGGCTGTTATTTTGTTGGTCAGGCTGTACTGGGGACTGCACTTAAGTGATGTGCCTGCATAATGACAGCACAACTGCTCTTATTGATATGTGTACTTGAATAGAGTCACCCAGCAGATTTTGGAATGACCTTTGATCTAAATCTCACAGCCAGACACACTTAAAAGTAGGACTGAGGGCTCTGTTCCTGCTGGTGGCTAGGAGGTCTGTGATCTTTTCAATCTCTGATAAATAAAAGTCGTCTTTAATCAAAGGGCTGTAATCTGTCCTGCAGAACTGGTTGCCAACCAGTTTTCCCATCAGTCAAATCGACCAGCCGTTTTAACAGATTTTTCACAGCAGAATTCACAGATACTATAGGTTGTGTGAATTTTAAGTTAGAACTTACAGCTATGTTGAAACTATGTTACTTGATGTAACCTGTTAAATTCTACTGGCTCATAAGCATATTGGCAGTTTACATTCAAAACAGGCTATGATCGGACTTACATTCAATGGTGCAACTGGCTGCAGAAGTTTGGAAACAATAAACTTTATTATTAGAACACAGTAAGATCATTCAAACTATTACTAGACCTTTTTGCCTGTTTCATGTATTTTATATTACAGTATTTCCTAATACAAACAAAAATATCATGTCATGAAATATGCATGCTAAAAATACACTATGAAATAAGATAGTAAATTAGATTTTACTAGATATACACTATATGGACAAAAGTACTGGGACACCTACACATCACACCTACAGGAGCTTTTATGAATCCCATTCTAAATCCATAGGTATTAGTATGGAGTTGGTCCCCCTTTGCAGCTCTAACAGCTTCCACTCTTCTGGGAAGCTTCTACAAGATGTTGGAGAGTGTCTGTGGGAATTTCTGCCCATTCATCCAGAAGAGCATTTGTGAGGTCAGACACTGATGTTGGGCGAGAGGGCCTGGCTCACAATCTTCATTCTAGCTCCTCCCAAAGGTGTTGGATGGGGTTGAGGTCAGGGCTCTGTGAGGGCCAGTCAAGTTCTTCCACACCAAACTCACCCAGTCATGACTTTATGGAGCTGCTTTGTGCGCTGGGGCTCAGTCATGCTGGAACAGGAAAGGTTCTTCCCCAAACTCTTCAGAGTTGAAGACAAATGTCCAAGTTGTCCAAAATGTCTTGTTCTCCTGAAGCATTAAGATTTCCCTTCACTGGAACTAAGGGTTCTAGGCCAACCCCTGAAAAACAACCCCATATCATCATCCCTCCTCCACCAAACTCTACAGCTGGCACAGTGCAGTCAGGCAGGTAACGTTCTCCTGGCGTTCACCAAACCCAGACTCGTCCATCAGACTGACTGATCGAGTATTCGTTTCCTCTGCTCCAGAGTCCAGTGGCGGCGCTTTACTCCACCCGAGGCTTGGCATTGTGCTTGGTGATGTAAGGCTTGTGTGCAGCTGCTCATCCATGGAAACCCTGTCATGAGGCTCCCAGTGCAGAGTTTTGTGCTGAGGTTGATGCCAGAGGAGGTTTGAACTTTGCAGTTATTGATCAGCAGAGTGTTGGGGACTTTATGCTCCTCAGAACTCGGCGACCCGCTCTGTAACTTGTGGTCTGACACTTCATGGCTGAGTCGCTGTGGTTCCTAAACGCTCCCACTTTTCAATACACCCACAGTTGATCGTGGAATATCTGGGAGGAAAGAAATTTTGTAAACTGACTTGGTACAATGGTGGCATCCCATTACAGCACCACAGTTGAATTCAGTGAGCTCTTTAGAACAACACACTCTTTCACAAATGTGTGTAAAGCCAGGCTGCATGGATAGGTGCTTGATTTGATACACCTGTGGCAATGAGACTGAATGAAAACACCTGAATTCAATGATGAAAAGCTGTGTCCCTATACTTTTGTCCATATGATGTAATTACTTACCACAAGTAAAGAAAGGATATACACTGTCACTGATGTGAAGCACCACGTTATTTGAGTAACTCAGTCACTGAGTGAGTGAGTGAGTTACAAGCCAGGTCTAAGAGGTGCTTCTCATCTAAAAAGGTTACTTTTGGCCTTGTATATTTTAAGCATAAGTGTTTTATAACTCACTTAATTTGCCAAGTTTGCAAACTACATAATCAAAACTGCAAAATATGCTTTGCTTTCAGGTAAAAGTTCAATAAACTTCCAGTTTGACTTTGTGGATGTTTATCAGACCCCTCACCCCGGCTACACTGTGTTTTAAAAGCAGACCTCGTGCCAGTAAGTCAACACTCACAACCCACAAAATAGTTTGGCTTTAATATATGCACGTTTTAAAGTGATAGTTTCTTGCTGTTTTTAGCAATGCCATCGTAGTCTAGTCCATTTTTATAGACGTACACTGCTGCTCCAATGTTTGTAATTGATGTTTATAATAATATAAAAACAATTTGGTTTCAGATTAATGTATAAAACACTAAATTCAGCAAATAAACACTGTGACGAAGTGTTCGCAACCCCCCCATTTCCTCCTTGTTCCTCAGTCCTACATCAGTCCTACTACAGCTATGAGTAGCCCAAGTTCTCCCCCCTCCCTCAATCAGTCTTCCCTCATACTACCACCACCATGTTGAAGGCATGGTCTGAACTTAGAAAATCTATCATTTCTTGTTCACAGCACTCTTGAAATGTTGAATAAAACATATTAAAGCATCATTTTGATTCACGCAGAACAAGCTATTGTATATAATATAGCAAAAACATTAAAATAGCAAATAATTCCAAACTTATGATACCATATAATAATAATTGTCTGAAGATGTAGGCATGCAGTTTAATCTTTCATCACTAGCCTCATAGCTCCAGTACAACAATAAAGACGAAAACACACCTGTCTTGTCTGATCAACTACGTTTGGAGTGAGGATTTGGGGATTTTTCACTGAACTATCACTTTAAAACAGGACAAAGAAAACAAGCAGCCCATTGTTGCTGAAAACTATCCACAGCATTCCTTCTCTCTTTCTCCCTGATGTTAGATGGAAACGTGACTCTACTGCTGTCTATGCTTGGCTCGGGGTCGGAGGTGCCTAGATGGGTGCTCCTGGTTGAAGCGTCAGGCTCCATGTTCTACACAGACCTTCTGGAGGACGTGGGGAACGGAGACTATCTGGTGACGGTGACCACAGTGCCAAAAGGGGAGTTTTCTGTATGCGTCATTGGTCAGATCAACTCCTCCTCCACCTCGGACTATAGTTTTTTCCAGAGACAGTCGTCCACCCGGCACAGAGCTTCCAATATCAGTGTCACTGTGAGTCCATCACACCATGAATACTCAACTCCACATCCGTTTTTATGATGGTTATTGTATTGTGTGATTATAGCATTGTGTGCTACAGGTCAAATTAGAGCTGGGTAACAGAACCAAAAATCTTATCACAATGTCATTTTTCATATCATTTATTATCAATAATGATCGATAATTACACTATGTGGTCAAAAGTATGTAGACACCCCTTATAAGTCAAGTCTTTCAGTCACATTGCTAACGGGTATATAAAAACAAACATATTTCTGCCCTGCTTGATCTGCCCTGGTCAACTATAAGTGCTATTATTGTGAAATGGAAGCATCTAAAAGCAACAACAGCTCAGCCACAAAGCGGTAGACCATGTGAACTGAGCAGTGCCACCGAGTGCTGAACCAGCAGTTATCTGCTTCCAGCTTTGTGTCAGCAGTTTGGGGAAGAGGCTTTCCTGTTCCAGCATGACTGAGACCCAGCACACAAAGCAGCTCCATAAAGACACTAATGTGCAGGGAACTAGTTGCATGAAAGTTACACCGTGAAGTCTGAATCTGAAACCTCTCCATGATGCTTCATTATTCCACACCAGATGCGACACATGCATCAAGAGGCACAGTTTCTGTTTGCATTGCATTTTCACATAATACAAATGGCTGAATTGTCCATTAATTGACTTGCTGTCGTGATTGTCAATAGTTTTCTCTCCATGTGATGTACAGCTATATGAAGAGGAGGAGACATAACCTACATAGGGGATGTCTATCACCTTGTAAAAGAGTTAAAAATATATTCATTGTTTTATGAGCTTAGATTGTACAGGGAGATTCACTGGAAAGAGGCCCCGAATATTCTGTAATAACTCTCTCTAGGACAAAGCAATCTGAACGAAACCAGGTGCAATGAGATCCTCAGTATATGGAGCCTCGAACAAGCCAGGATGCCCCTGCGTCGGAGCGATGAAATAGGCACCGGACAGCCGTCACGACGTTTAACCTCCGTTTGCAACTTCCGGATGCAGACCCCCCTACCCCTTCATGTGTCTGGCAGAAAACAGAGATCATTTCCAGCATCGCATGTAATGCGATCAGTTACACATACGTCAACGCATGTAGCATATTTTCTTGGTTCAGACCGCTTCCTCCTAACAGGAGTTACAACAGAATATTCAGGGCCTCTTTCCAGTGAATCTTCTGTATATTATAGCATCAACACTGCATTTCTTTACTGTATCTGCCTTTGATGTGTCAAAAACAGAGAAATGGGCTTTAGTAAGCTGTGCGTAATTTCAACATTAGTCCGCTGGTTAACACTAGATAACTCTGTTAACTGTTCTGCTGGTTTGAGCTGTTGTGAGTGAACAGCTAGACTTCTTCTCCCTTCTCAACTAGAGAGCAAAACAATGCCATCTAGTGTCCGGAAGTAGCAAATTTTGCCCCCAATGCTAGTTGAGTATTAAACAGGAACAGAACGGCATGGTTATTTATCAAAAATATCTCAAACATGCAGTATTGATTGGTATCTTTTATTTAGATAATAATTATCATTTTAATTCAAATACATGTTTTCGTTCCTATCAGGTGTTGTTTCTTGACTATGTAGTATAAAGAGCTGTTTTCTATCCTCCTCAGGCTGTGAGAAATGAAACATGGTTTCCAGGGCAGCTGTTCAGACTCCCTTTCACCGTGACAACAAACAACAGCTACAGTAACTACATCGTCACTGCCCGGAACAGCGGTCAGTACAACATGACATTCCCCAGCTCCCTGACAACAGGTAGCGACAGCACGGCTAACGGCGTGGTGGTGCTCAGCGCCCCGGATAACACTACAGACGGCACAGAGGTCATCCTCACCATCGAGGTGACACAGTCGGGGACAAACGACACCAACTACTCTTTCCTGAGGCTTGCCGTGTCCAGGGCAGTGGCGCCCCCTGCTGGCCTGGCTCTCAGTCTGTGGCTCAGTGCAGTAACTCTCCTCATCAGTCTCGTCATCAATAAGTAGAAAGAAACGTAACGTGAATGTGGGTTTATATGTGGAGGTGTATTTTTTGGGGAGGGGGGCACACTGATACATTAAATAAGAGTGCAGTTTCTAAATGACGTCTGGGTGGTGGGTCAGGTGAGTGGTCAGTGTTTTTGTATGTATGTAAGAATCATGTCATATAGAGAAGGAAAGTGGTCAGAGTGCCCCCTGCTGTTGGCTTTCAAAACATGAATGAATGATAATGGAAGTGATGCACATTACAGGTTGTACATAATGTGCCATGTTGTCCCCATATTTAGTTATATCTGACAAAATTATGATCTACTGTAAATTAAGAATTTGAATAAAGACAAATACAGTTTTTTGTGAGTGTTTTCCCAAAATGGACTACAAAGTCTTGGGTTTTGAAGTTCAGTTGTATTTTAGTCTCTGCACTTGTATTGGTCAGCCTATACATGATCTGTAGATACTTCTGCGCTGATTTCACACTGTTGTGTATCTGCACTCTGTAAAGTCCCATGTAATGTGCTGCTGTTGTGTGTTTCACTTTGGGGCTGTTAGTTATGCTGATGAATGACAAGAACCACTTGATATAATAAAAGAACAAGAATAATTATCTTTTAGTGCAGTGAGATCATTTAAGTTGGTACCGTCATGTTAAAAATTCATGGAAGTCCCTGAAAAAGACGGCGTCTAAAAGGCAGCATATGTTTCACCAAAATGTGTTCAGTGTTAATGGTGCTTAGGTGCTCATATGTGCAGGTTACCCACTAATACCTCCCCCATACCATGATAGATGCTGGATTTAGAATGATATGCTGGTAACGATCTGGATGCTCCTTTTCATCTTTGGCCGGGAGAACACAACATCTATTATTTCCATAAACAACCTGAAAAGTTAACTCGTCAGATACAATACACGTTTCCTCTGAGCTCAGTCCAGAGAAGCCCAGAGAGGTCAGCGGTGTTTCTGGATGTTGTCGATATGTGACTTCCACTGTGCAGAGTACAGACTTAACCTGCATTTGTGGATGTAGAGATGGACGGTGTTTATTGATAACGGTTTGTCAAAGAATTCCTAAGCAAATGTGATGATCTTTATCCCAGAAACATACTGGTTTTTAATGCAGTGCTGTCTGAGGGGTCAAAGGTCACAGGCATTTACAACCACAACTAAAAAAGTTGGGATGCTGTGCAAAATGTAAATGAAAATAGAATGCAATGATATGCAAATTACATAAACCCTATGTTTAATTGAAAATAGTATAACGGCAAAATATCAAATGTTGACACTCAGAAATTGTAGTAAAATAATTTTTGAAAAATATTTGCCCATTTTGAATTTGATGCCAACAACACGTTCCAAAAAAGTTGGGACGGGGGCCTGTTTACCACTGTGTTTATCACCTCTTCTTTAACAACACTCTGTAAGTGTTTGGGAACTGAGGAGACGCTGCTGTAGTTTTGAAGGTGAACTGTTTTCCTGTTCTTACTTGATATAGGATTTCAGCTGCTCATCGGTTCCTGATCTCCTTTGTTGTATTTTCATTTCATAATGGGCCAAATGTTTTCAATGGGTGACAGATCTGGAGTGCAGGCAGGTCAGTTTAGCACCCAGACTTGTACTATAGAACCATGATTTGGTAATGTTTGCAGAATGTGGTTTGTCATTGTCTTGCTGAAATAATCAAGGCCTTCCTTGAAAAAAAGGTTGTCTGGATGGCAGCATCTGTTGCCAAAACCTGTATGTTTCATCCAGTATTAATGGGGCCTTCACAGATGCACACTAATGCACCCCTACACCATCATGAATACTGGCTTTTGAACTGTGCACTGATAACTTTAGCCCGGAGGACACAGTGTCCATGATTTCCAAAAAGAATTTCAAATTATGATTTGGCAGAACACAGGACACTTTTCCCCTCAGTCCATTTTAAATGAGCTCAGGCCCAGAGAAGGCGGCGGCATTTCTGGAACCTGTTTATATTTGGTTTCTTCTTTACATGGTAGAGTTTTACCTTGCATTTGTGGATGCAGCAACGAACTGTGTTCAAAGGCAATAGTTTTTGTAAGTATTCCTGAGCCCATGCAGTGATTTTCACTACAGAATCATTTCTGTTTTTATTTATTTATTTATTTATGTCTGTTATTTATTTATTTAATGATGAAATTCCCACGTTCTTTGCTATTTTGCGCTGAGAAAGGTTATTCTTGAATTGTTGCTCTATTTGATGGTGCGGTCTTTCACAGAGTGGTGAACCCTCCTCATCTTTACTTCTGAAAGACTCCGCCTCTCTGAGATGCTCTTTATACCCAATCATGTTACTGACCTGTTGTCAATCAACCACCAGGTGTTTTTTCAGCATTACACATCTTTACCTGCCTTTTGTTGGCCAACTTTTTTGGAACTCTTTGTTTGGCATCAAATTCAAAATGGGGATATATTTTTCAAAAAACAACACAGTTTCTCAGTTTCAACATTTGATTTGTTGTCTTTGTACTATTTTCAAATAAATACAGGGTTTACATTATTTGCACAGCATTGCATTTTGTTTTTGCTTACATTTTGCACAGTGTCCCAACTTTTTTTGGAAATGGGGTTGTAATTGAGGTTTTGACCTTTTCCTTTACACACAGAGATTTCTCTGGATTCCCTAAATCTGTTGATGATATTATGCACTGTGGAGGGTAAAAAACATCAAAAACATAACAAAAAATCCTTGCAATCACTCACTGAGGAGCTTTCTTTTTAAATAATAGTAATAAATAATTAAATAATATTTTTTTAAATAATGAAAATGATCCTTTTCTATTTGGACATCCTCGACTCATCCTCACTCGTAAAGGACTTGGCATTTTCTGGATGCTCCTTTTATATCCAAGCATGATTATATCACCTCTTAAAATGTTTTCAGACCATTTTTGGAATGTGTTGCAGGCATCAGTTGCAGAATGAATGTATATTTTAAAAAAAAAGAGTTAAAGTAATACTTTATATATTTTTATCACATCTTTATGATATTTTTGTTTAAATACAGAGTAGAGAGCAGGTTTATAAATCATGGCTCTGTTTTTATTTGCATTTTATCTACTGTCCCAACTTTTTTGGAAGTTGAAGCAGTTAACATTAAAGGCCCATGTTTTTGAGTTATCAGCCTTTCATTTTGAGTTCTCCTCATATTGTTTGTGTACCAAAATCATTTTTAAATGACTTTTCCAGCTTCTCTTTAAACAGCCTGTTTTTGTTACTGTGCCTCAATAGACTGATATATGTAAATGAGCTCTGTTCTGATTGGCTGCCCTGTATTGGCTGTTGTGGTGCGCAGTTGCCACCATACATAGTGGAACATGATGTCACCAGTAGTGTGAGGCTACAAGCAGGAAGGAAGCTTTGGGTTCCCTTTCAAGTGATGTCGCACACACACCCAGGTAAGTTCACATGCTCTGGGTCATTTATTAAGCGTCGATCACCCAGTCAAGAAGATATTTACATATTTACAGCAGTGTTGGAGGTTCTTAAGGTGACTCTTAGCTCCTCAGCTAATATCAGTAACTCGTGCTCACAGCCTAAACATCAGCCTGATGCACCTAAACATGCCTTGAGGCTACGAGGCCAAACAGACTGCACACTATGGCTCCCTTGAGCCGACTCCTTGACTACCTAAGGAACCCCATATGGTCTGGCTTTATACTCTAAGCCCCACCCTAATTGAGGCTGGAACATACCAATACAGATCACCGGTGTAACCATACATCACTGGCTCAGCATCAACCAATAAAATATGCATATGCAGTGTCCTGTATTCTATACCGGTAAGTAAATTCACATTCAGCTTTAATTAACTCTTTCATTTCTCTCTACAGGTTCACTCCGGCTTTGCTCCCCCTCTCCAGGATAGCTGTGACGTCACCCAGCTCCACTAAGAAGACAGAGGCCCCTGTGACACCATTTCCATGGAATAAAGGTAAGCGCACACGGTAACACTTTCTATGAACGTCACCTTTGTAAGCATCTATAAACACATTCATAACATGTTATAATGCATTCATAAGACATTATAAACATAGCTATAAATATTTATAAAAATGCATTATACGTTATAGCCATGTTTATTATGCATTATGAATTGTTAACATAATACATTATAAGTACTGTTCATAACAAATTATAAGAGCTCATAAGCTGTATTTGTCCGCTCTAAGTAAAGTGAAGCGTACTGTACTAAAGCCTCCTCCAGTGTTCAGAGTGAGGCTTCAAGTTGAAGTATTTACTGAAGGATTTACTGAAACACTAAAACATTCACAGTAAAGCACATTACAGGCTTCAAATGTCAGAGTTTAAACTAGAGCTGCCATCAGTGTTTTACCCAATGTGGGAAAGGTAATGTTCACCACCGTTAGCTTGGTATTTGTCTTTACTTTACGCTCTCCAAGCTGGGACTGACTTCTTTGGCACTGACATTATAACATGTTATTAACACTATTTATAATGCATTATTTTGACAATTCATAATGTATAATAAACATGGCTATAAAGTGTAATCCAGTGTAATTTTTTTTTATAAATATTTATAACCACGTTTATAATGCCTTATGAATACATTATAACATGTTATAAATGTGTTTATAGATGCTTACAAATGCGACATTCATAGAAAGTGTTACTGCATACACATATATTAATCTCTGTCCTAAGAGATGTAATGTCTTAAACAGTCTTGGTGATGTATCCTGGCCACTGACATCATCACATGTGCCAATTTCAAGAATCAGTCCAGGCTGAAACAGTCCTGATAACAACTTTCTACACAATCACAGTTTCCACTGATGCTGACTGCCCTCTAGTGAGTTCACAGGCCACTAACAAATGTACAATAAATGTAATTCTGCAAGACAATGGAGCCACTCCCCCTGCTGTTTTTAACTGGAATAACACATTTCATAAACTTCATTGGAAAACAACTTGTCTATTTCCAAAATAGCTCATACTAACCAACAAAGTACAGGAAGTTTAGTGTAGAATAATACACAGACGCTGACCAGTGAAAGTGTACTTCAAAAAAATGTTAAATTGGAGTTTGCACTGTAGCTTCTGTAAGTCAAGCAAATAAATATCAGACTTAAAACTAAATATCATTTTAGAGTCAAGACCTCATAGCAATGAATTTATATTTAAGGAACTCTAAAGTCTAGTAAACTTCGCAAAGCTCTCAAAACCTGTACTGAGATGTTTTCTCTTCATTTTTAATGTATTCTATACAGATGTTGACCTGTCATCATTGTTATCATATTACTTTGTAAATCTGTATTTTAATAAAATCAAAAACACTCCTTATAACTTCATTGTGAATGGGTGGGGCTAAACTGCTGTAGGCTGAATAGGCTATATGTACATATGTAAATGTGTCTTTGTTCATGACTTCACAAAACGAATATATTAAAAACTATTAAAGGCTGTTTTTGCAGTTTAGTTTCCACATGTGGGCTGCATGGACTGGAGAGTGAACGGTGCGTTTTGACACTATAACAGTGTTTCTATACCACAATAAATGCTTTCATTTATGATAAAAAGCAGAAAATTTTCTCTGAAATGAGCCCTTTAAATGATGTTAGTGCTTGGAGTGGCCAGCAGGTGGCACTGTGAGTGTGTGCAGGATGTAAGAAAGAGAAGTGT